ACAAGATGGCACACCATTATTGACAAAAATGGTGTGAAATGGAAAAGTTGGTGATGACCACCATTGATGAGAATTCTTCAAAGGTGTGCTTCAACAATGATGTGCTAATGGTGGTAGTTTGTTCACATGCATGGAACTTTCAACAAAGTCCATTTTGCTCATGTGTCAAGCACTTTTTACCAAACATTAGTGATGCTCTTATAGCAACTAGTTACATTATGTATGACTTAGAGCATAATAACTGATTGAATCACCCGTTAAGGCAATTAGAAAAAACATAATTTGTAGCTAGCCCATTTAAGGCTGACCAAGCACAAACTACAGAGGGTTTTAAACTTTTAATAGATCACAAGCATGAAATTTCCAAATAATAGTAACCAACAAGTGCCAAGATAACCCACCTAATTTCTCCAGTAAAAGCACCACCTTTACCACTCCAACAATTCTGAGCAGCTATCTCTATCCGATCGGCTAACGAGTTCTTCACTTGATCAATGTAAACAAAAGGAGGCGCTACAACTACATCTGCAATTGTTTAAGGTAAATTACTCGATTTCCTATCGACTATGTGGATTATGGATAAACCAAACCAGAGATACTCTAATAACAGAAATCTATGTACAATATGTTAACACAATTTATTCATATGAATGACAATTATAAGTAGAACAAAGAACTTTACCAACATCAGATTCCAGTGTTGCACTATTTAAGTCAGAGACAAGCTTGCTTATGGTGTCTGTTAGTCCCATTCTAAGGAAAATCGTACAGAACATGCCATGAGAACGGGCAAAATTAAAGGTCCAAAAGCAAGAACCAAAACAAATGCTTCAGAACTTAAATTAATTATCTTCAAGCAACAATGGAATTAACAAATAAAAAGCTGCAGATCGAGAAGATTCGGGAGAAAATCAGTACTTACACATTTCCAATTTCCACCAACAAAGAACTGCAAGCAAAAGGAAACAAAAAGCATACAATTAGAATAATAACAAAATAAACAATGGCCAGTTTGTCAGAACAACCCATTAACCCGTGCTAGCACAGAAACATAAAACTCGGTTAATACTGAGCAGTTTCATTAATGTTACAGAAGCATTACCAGATGAAAATGCCATCAAAGACATATTAACTCAAAATTAGCCATAAATTAACACAAATTCTTGTGTGTGGCCATCTAATCGTTAGGCAGGTTGACTCATCATACTTTTTTTTTTCTAATAATGCGTACTTGTGCTATCTAGCGATTAGACTGTCGATCCATCATACATTCTTTTTTTAATAAAATGAGTAGTTATGCTATGAAATAGCATACTTTTATTGTGTTGTTGTTTAAAGTATGTCATTTCGTTTTGATAGCATGCACATAGAAAATTATGACTGCTTAACCTTTATGTCTGCAAACACAGCCTTATTGATAAATTAAGTTATAAATTCTAATAATTCAATTATCAGAATCACTTCGATACATATCTGCAAGCCGTATATAAGAAAATACAACCGGTTCATTAAACTAATTTCCAGAACTGAAAAAAAAAATAAAAAAAAATATCTATGCAATAAACCTATATTTAAAAAAAAAATACCCAAAGTAAAAAGGATGAAATGAGGACACCTTTCCGGAACCAGCCATGGCGACGACGCCACGGCAGACTTTACTCGTGGGGGCAGTGGCGAAACCAGCCGGTCATCCCGGGGAGGGCCCAATTTGCCGCGGCGCACCACCCCCACTCCGGCATCGGAAGGGCGCTCAAAGGGCTTTTGTAGACGCTCTCAAAAATTTTCGCAAGATATAAAAGAATACTCTAGAGATTTTTCTAAAAATCAAACTAAGTCTAGAATTAAATTGATATACTTAAACTGAATTGTTTTAACTTGAAAAATACTCGAATTTATACTAATAATAATCTCGGACTCAATTATAAAAATAAATACCTCTTTTCGAATAGACGAAAAGCTGAAAAATTTGAGAAAACGAAGCCTCGAACGATCGAATTCGTCCTCGACAAATTTGCTCATTTTGATACTATTTAACGCAAAAATTGAAACTCTCATAATAAATGCTCGGAACTCCGGAAAATGCAAAATTTATCCGTATGGAATCGTGCTTGAATTGTCTACACGCTCCAACTCGATTCTGGTTAACCGAGGGCACACGCAACCTTATGGAACCCCGCAAAACGGTTTTTTATTCTTCTACTATGCGCACTCGACTTCGAGCTTCTCAAAATAAATGCTCGAAACATCGAAACGTGAAATAAATTTTACGAACGACTTCTACTGTTCTCGTGCTTTTAAAAAAGCACTCCCGCTAATTTTCAGCACGTCTAACGAGGGTCGACGGTTACCGAAGTCTAGACATGAAAAAGACAATAAAGTCACCGCCACTGTCATTTTTCTATCAACTTCGGGCTACCCAAAATAAATGGTCGGGACCTCAAAATCATAAAGTGACGCCACCAACGCACTCTCTGCTTCTCGTACTTTCATAAAAGTATTTTTCGGTAATGATCGACTCGGTTTTTGAGT